CTGTTACTAAAGACTTGGAAGCACGAGAAATGTGTTTGGCAAGTTCGACACAAACTGTGCAAAAAGAAGACAAACCTCTTTGAAGCTGGGTACCGTCTATTTCCTGATTATAAAATGCAAACACTTTTGTAAGCTGTTGCTTTTGATGGTGTTAGCTGCTCTATAGCTGTGATGTTAAATTTGGAATTGAACTGGATTAAGATCTGTTGACTTTGAAGGCCATAGTGTTTGATTCGCATCATATTCAGCCTCCTCAAACCACTCAGTGAGCCCTTGTAGCCTTTGGAGAGAAGCGTTATCATTCTGGAAGAGACCGCTCCCATCAGGATAGAAATGTTGTCATAGGAGCAACCCTTCCTTCTAAGGGTACAAGTGGCTTTGGAGGGCACCGCAGAGCGGAGCCAGGAGATCCCCTCACTATAGGGGTGAAGGGTTCAGCTTTTCCCTTTTAATCTATTGTCTGCCTGTTTATCAGTAGCTAAGGCTTGCATTTAGACAGTCACGTAAGTTTCCTCTGTAATCAGTCTGCAGAGTGTGTGTTCATATCTATCAGAAAGGACTCAGCAGGTCCTTAGGCTGGTGTTTATATGAATAGTGGGGTCCCGTCGGACACACTTCCACACTTGTCTCAGGCTTGGAGCTGTGGGATGTGTATTGTTAGTTCAGGTTTCATAAACTGATTCTTATGAACGCATTTTTATTCTTGGTATCGAGTTGAAAGTTTAAAACGAACCCTCTTTGTCCCCTCAGTCCATCCTGTGTGTGCGCTGAGACCTCGCTCCAGGAGCTGTCTGGGTCTGATGGAGTTGATAAAGGGCTAGTTCCTGATTATACAGGGCGTCTTTAACCCAAACTCTGATGTTTTCTTTCCTTAGACCTAATCAAGTCATTTTCAGCTTGCAGTGGAGATTCTTCTGGCTGACAAAGCTGTGATTAATGACACCTCCAGCTTCATAATGCAGACTTCTCTCCCGAGTGGAGTGCAATATATTTGGCAAGGCAGGAGTAGGCTCTGGAGTTTTACTGGTTACTTCTCCACTAAATCAGATTATTTGGCCTGTCTGATGTGAAGTATCTGAAACTCTGAGCCTTGTAAACAAACTAATTGCTGTGGAGGTGAAGTTGGTGGATTCCGAATTACAGAATTTATCAACTCTGAGTGGAACCAAAGAGTCCTGCTGATTACCTCCTCAGCAGGAGCGTGGCATCCCTGCTAGTGGATAACCAACAGCTCGAAGCGTTCTCCAACAACTAAATCACTTTCTGTGTGGACAGGCGTTTAACATGAATCACCTCGAGTGGAAAGAATTTGCCACCTTACCTTTGAATTATCAGATTACTAATAAATTTAAAGCGATAGGATTGTGAATCCGTAGTCCTGGTGAAGTTTTGGTCTTCTTGTGTTCCCAACCTGTGCCATACAACGTGTACACTTACTTAAATTGACTCACTCTTTTCAACAATTTGTCCCTTTGTTAGATATCATAAATATCTTAATACAAACCTTAAAAGAGTAAAAGCTTGGCAAACATTGGCAGGTGTGCCTAAAGTTTATCTCACATCTTTGTAGGTTTTTATCATCATATTGTTTCAGTAATATAATGATATCACAATCTGTTTTTGCCTTAAAAAGTCACCCTTCGGCACATTAGTTACATAAGACACATTTAGTCGTGAGACGCTTGGATTTGGTTGAGTAAATTAGTTTGACCTGATTTTTCTAAGTCAGACGTGTTGAGAGAACGTCGACTTACATTTTCATACAGTTGCTGTCGCCTTCAAACTTGGCTGAGGCTCACTTCCCCCTTAAGTAGTTTCATAACTGAAAAGAAAACATCTTTGTGTGCCTCAGCTTGACGTTGAGCACTTAGGGCTTTATCTGCTGCTCCTAAGTCTTCCGCTAAATCACACTCACACCTCGGAGGCCATTTTGTTTTGGTTACATCAGAGCGAGGTAATTAAACGCACAGTGTTCCTTAAGGTAAGAAAAGGAAGGAAGATTTCGGGCTCTGAGTGAGAACAGGATGTTTTTCTCAGTGTCTGTGTCTCACTTGTGTGTCTGTGTGTGCGTTGTCCACTCTGGATGGCAGCCAATCGCCAATCAGACAAATTGGAAGTAGCAGCATCCTGGAGAGGAAACTGGCCGACACGTAGTCAGACGAAGAGAGTCCACCCACATGAACCCCATCAAAGCACACCTTGTCTTCTGTACCTCTCGGCCTTTTGTTCCGACACTTTTGTGACACAGAAAATGTCCGAGTTCAGCTCAGCAGTTCTGCTCTTTCAACATGAAGTTTGTGTTGGTTATTAATCTGCTGTCAATAAAGAATTTCCTTTGTTTATTTAGGGATTATTACGAGATTCTTGCATAACGTAAAATGCATTGGTTATTTAGCCAGATATGTCTGCGCTGGACGGGATGGCAGCACTCCATGTTTTAGACAGAAGAATGCATGCAGCATGTAATTAATATAAGATGTGCAAGTAAAACTAAAGTACACAAAGTATGAAAAGTTCCAGTTTGAATTGAAAATATTCATAAAATTATCAGGAATTATTAAAAAAATCATATTTTAATGAGTCTTAAAAAAACAGACTTTCATGTCAATAGGTGGATGTTTGTCTATTCATCTGGATGCTGCATATTCATCCAGGAAGAAATATTTCATCACTCATCAAAGTAACTTTTTCAGTCAGCTGACTGCAGGTTTCCCTACATTATAAACCATAAAGCTGCATAACAACTGAAACCAGCTCCAGTGCCTAACCATGAGCCACAAGTGCCACTTCATAAGCAATTACCATGCAAACTGTGAGGGAGATGGCTGCACCCCAGCTTTTTTGGTTGCTGTGACCATTAGGTCCCCTCATTGGTTCAAAGATGTCCCCTTTTCATAAAAATGGGCGTCCTTGTCAGCCCAGTCTACCCAGTGCTCCTTCCAGTCCACCATGTGCACATCCTCATCTTGTAATAATCGACTTCGGAATCCTGTTGTGCCATCTGCTTAAGCAGAAGTTGTTTGGTTTCCCCGATGTATAATTTAGAGCTCTCTTGGCACTTGACTTGAATGTTAGCAAATAAGCTAACATTTGTTGGCTAGCTGTTGATTAGCAAGACTGCAGGAATCTGTCATTGCATTGCTTTGTAATTGGCAAATGCTCAGTCACCAGACAGATCAGATTCCCTGAACGTAAAATAATTGATTATATTTTTGTTATAATGGGAAGGTAACGATTCATCAAACAGACTGTCTGTGACCGGGTTTGAGCCCCAGAAGTGAATGAATCCTTCTTTGAACCATATACCCTGCTGAGGTTGGCGGTGGTTTCCCCTACATACGTAAAACCAGATTGTGTGGAGTCATGATGGCGGTATGCAGTAAACAGCAGTTAATTATTTTAAAACGGAATTTTTGGTTTGAAGATGTACAGGAGGAATGAGACTGAGCTTTTAAAGTGAGTAATTTGTCAGATGGAGCAAACCATTTTGAACACGACAACTTCTTTGATGTTGGGTTTCGGTGGTTTGTTATCAGCTGGAAGAGCGTTGTCTCCTTATGAAAGCAAGAGTTTGTCAGACCAAACAGAGTTTTTAGTAAGAGCTGAGGTTAAATCACTGCTGTTGTAAAATAAAGTAAACAAAAAAATTTTTCAACCAGTTTTGGTTTTTCTTTGTGTTAAATTATTGTCTGAAGCATTAACAGGGATTTTTGTTTATCAAATTGCAAACTCTGAGTCAGGAAAAACCTTAAAATTGACCAACCCAAACTGAAACTCAACTAGCAAACCAGTGAAGTGCAATAAAAATGTAGGAAGGAAGGGAACTCGTTCGCGTGATCAGCCCTTCCATTTTTAACAAAAGCTGTCTTTGTCTCTTCCCTCCCATCCTTCCTATGCAGACGTGGCTCTAATGTCTCCCTGGTGTTGGACATGTCTGCTCTCGGCACTGTGGAGCCCCTTAACGTCGCCGTGGTAACCCCCAGGGAGGCAGCAGCCAGGGAGTACCTGCTGTCGGCCGGCCGGCCGCTCACCCGACAGCAACTGCGCGACATCGTTAACAACACCCACAAGCTGCACGCCGAGTTCGCTGTGAGCCCGAATTTCATGCTTAGTTGGGTTTCTGATGGGACACACTGAAATGTTGAAGGGCTGATTTACATGCAGTGATGCAGTCTTTCATAATGCCCTCAAGTTCATAGATGGAACAGCTTTATAATGAATTTTAGTGCTCTATGCGAGAAAATCTGTGGCAGTTTCTTGCAATGAGAAGAGAAAGGCATTGCATTTTCTTCATTTACAAAGATCATTAACTAACCAAGTCAAGTTGAAATAATACTCATGTAAAGTGCATTGTGTTTTAATCTGGGTAAGAAATGTGCCATAAAATTGAAACTTGTCTTCCTAAAATCTCAGGAAATCCCAATGAACCTCATAGATCCCAAGGAGCTGGATATTCCAAATCATGGGACCAAGAACAGATATAAGACCATATTGCCCAGTGAGTATTCTCAGTGTTGCTATGGAGTTAGAAATACTTCCAAAACAATCCCAGTCTCTGATTTCCTGTTGAACCAGGAAGTTATTTTATTATGTAGGCGGGACTTAGTGTCAAAGGCCAACAACCGCAAGGACAGCTATTATCGCACCTCCCTCTTCCCCATGAGCAGACAGAACAATACATTTTCCTCTGAGCACAGTTTGTTCTCACACTGTCGGCCAGGAACTTATCCTGATTAAGACATTATGTAACACAGACACACACACACACACACACACACTTACTTACTTTTTGGTTTGTGTAGCCGTGCTTTGGGAGGAGGGCGGGGTTATCAATACAGCACTGTTCCTTCCTTCCGGCCAATCAAGAGAAAGGAATGCTCACCTAGAGCTGCTGTCAATCAGAGACTTTCCTCTGTTCCACATTCTGTGTTGTTCTTAAATGTGCTCCAAACGTTAAAACATAACCTGCAACAGGACTCTACCAACCCTAGATGTTATAGGTAGATATCCACTGTCATCATATATTGGCTTGTTTAAGACTATACTGAAGCCTCAGCTTTAACCTAAAAACAAGTTTTCAGCAGACATTTCAAACAAATAACAGAGTCAGGTGACCTTATAGGCTGAAGAAGGCGGTTCCACAGTTTGGGAGCTACAGCTTAAAAGCACGGTCACCTCTAGTTTTAATATGATAGCGAGGGACTGTTAGACGATCCTGAATAGGTGATTGGAGAGGTCAGCTGCATTGATAAGGTGTTAGAAGTGACGCATATGAAAAGTGAATTGCAATAATCAAGATTGGAGAAATTAAAGTGTGTACTAAAAGTTTAAGATGATTGACTGACAGTAAAAGTTTAATTTACACAATATTTCTCAGATAAAGGAAACAAGACTGGGTAAACTTTGAGACATGAGTTTCAAAATTCAGATGCTGATTAAAAGTGATACTGAGGTTTTTAGCAGCTGATTTGATGTTATTAGCGAGGGGGCCGATGTACTGACTGACTTCCCTACAGGAAAAGCAGGTTAAAAACTAGATGGCAGAAGTTTAAAAAAAACAAATCCTTTTCCTCAGCATGTTTTTGAGCTTAATTTAAACTATTCTCGTTAGTTTTCTCCTTTATACCTTTCCTTGTGTCCTCATCTCCTGTCCTTGGTATGTTTCCTAGACCCTCATTCCAGAGTGATCCTAAAGTCAAAGAGCTCCAACGACCTGCTGAGCACCTACATCAATGCTAACTACATACGGGTAGGTAACAGCACAAACTGTCCTGCAGTCCAAGCAATCGATTTATGAACTAATACTTAACATACTTGTTGTTTTCATTTATTTTCCTTTTTTCTATTCTTAAAAAATTCTATTCTATTCATTATTTTCCAGACAATTAGCTTTTTGTGTTTTCTTTGCTGTGTCTGTGTTGTTTTGATCGACTCATCTGTATTTTGATGTTCTTTCTGTAGATCAGTTGCATAACAACAAATTGTACTCTGAGTATTATTTATTTATTTTTTGCCTGGCTTACTTGTACTTCCTGGTTTTTGTTCTAGCTCTCGGCTGCTGTGTTTATTCTGGGAGACATTTTAGTACTTACTCAGGTTTTGAAAAACTTTTCAGTCCAGTTAATGATGACATTTGTTTTGTTAAATCTTCTCAAAACCTTAGAAAAAACAGCAAGCAGGCTGTCATTATCACTCATCTGGAATGTAAACAGCCTTTTCTTTTTCTTCTGGCTCCTCGTCGACCTACACAGTGAAAGTATTTGCCTGTAGAAGTCTGTAATGTCGCTCTCAGACTTCCACACAATAGACTGTCTTCCTGTCAGGAAACACCACTGAAACAGTTTAAAGCGGTGGACCTCATGAGACAACCGAGGCTGTTTAATTTCTTTGTCCTACCACACACACACACAAAAAATCTTATTCATCCAGAATAAGTAAGCACATCAATTACATGAAAATAACAGCGATTATGAAATGAAACACAGCACTTTTTAAAAAAAAATTTTATTTGAAGCTTAGAAATGAAATATGTTTTTTCAGTTTGGCACGGTCTTACTGTTTGTTTGTTTTGTTATGTCACCTGGAGTCATCAACGCACCGTTTTTTGCTCTCTGCACACATTTAGCTCAAGCTAAAGTGTTGTGCTAGTTTGGAACTAGCCACATCCTGATCCAGTTATCAGTTATGTCGGTTAAAAACCGACAGCAGCAGGAGCACCCTGAAATAAAACAAGTTTTTATTCATAAATGCCTTCAAGGCCATGCCAGCGAGAGAACACTGAATCACTGTTCAATTAAACTAGCTCATATACAGACATGAAAGATTTAACCTGCTGTTTAATGGTGAATACGAGCGAATGGATCAGCTGAATAACTAATTTAAAGTTAATGATGTTTTTCAGGTTCTTTATTTTAGACTAACCTACAGTTCTAACATTTTTGTGCCGTTTTTCTTTGTGTAAAAATGGTTTAAATGCAGACAAATGGGTCAAGTATTTTTCTACGTTTTTATTTTATTTATGTATTCCAAAATGTAACAGGTTCTTTCTTTGCACATGTCTTCATGAAGTTTTGGGAAATCCTGGTAGATTTTGTCTACTGCTGCTGATAGACCCTGGTGGAGGAATACATTCATCATTCTGTGAATGATGCTGACCCTGCTGTGTGATTGGTTCATTCTGCAGGGTTATTTGGGGGACGATAAGGCGTACATCGCCACTCAGGGTCCTATGGTGAACACAGTGAATGACTTCTGGCAAATGGCCTGGCAAGAGGAGTCACCAGTTATTGTCATGATAACCAAACTGAAGGAGAAGAACGAGGTAAGAGTCTAAAAAGCAAAGACTGTGGAAGAAAGAGCGTCTTCTTCTTCTTCTTGTAGGCGCTGAGTGTATAGCAACAAAAATGGAGTGATCTGGAAAGTGCTCAGCAGGAGTGAAAAGTGAGCTGAAGTTAATGAATGCCGTCTTTGTCCCTGCCTCTGTAGAAGTGTGTTCTGTACTGGCCGGAGAAAAGAGGCATCTACGGGAAGGTTGAAGTGTTGGTGAACAGCATCAGAGAGTGCGAACACTACACAACTCGCAGCCTCACGCTCAAGGTACACGTTGCACAGCAGGGAACATGTTCTCATCAGAGCTGAGAATCAGGACTAATACGTCATGTATGTTTGCATGTATGCAGTGTGGGAACCAAACCCGCTCTGTGCAGCATTACTGGTACACATCGTGGCCTGACCACAAAACCCCGGTCTCAGCACTGCCGCTGCTGCAGCTCATGACTGACGTAGAGACGGACAGACGGGCCGCCACCACCGTGGGACCAGTTATAGTCCACTGCAGGTACTGACAGACTGACCGACAGCGTGACGGTTCTGTTACTAATATATAATTATGAAATGACACCCTGCTTGTTTGATCGCAGTGCTGGGATTGGGCGAACGGGATGCTTCATCGCCACGACGATAGGCTGCCGGCAGCTACAGCTGGAAGGAGTGGTGGATGTACTGGGCATCACCTGCCAGCTCCGAGCCGACAGGTAACACACATGTACTCGTGCAGGTTTATACTGATGACCTGCAGGTCCTCACTTCCATGATTAAAACAATCCAAAGGGTGTTAAAAAGCCAACATTTAAACCTCTAACTGGCTCTTGTAAGAAAGTACCATTAGTCACTGAGAAACATGGTTTTTGCATAAACTCTGAAGCTGCCTCGCTTGTCTTTGTGGTCATTTTAAGTCTCTGTGGTCTCTTGGTTTCCCTTTGAAGGCATTGAGTGTGTCTGACATCCTTGCAGTTGTTTCAGACCTTTTGGTGATAGTCTTGTTTTAGTTTGTGGTCATTTTTTATCTCTTTCTGGTTGTTTTTGTTTACAATTGTGTATTTTATGTGTATCTGGACATTTATTTTTTTTATTTTTCCCCCCTCATTTGTGGAAATTTAAGGTGTCCTGCAGTTGTTTTGTGTTGCAATGATTGTTTAAACTGGTTTTGGCAGTTTTCTTTCTGTGTGGTCGCTTTTTTCCTTGCCATTGATGATTATGTTTAGTGTTTAGTTGTTGTTTTTTGTCCTCTTTGTGGTTGCTAAAGCGCTCATTGAGGACCTTTTTAAACATGTATCCAATACATATTCATTTAAATTAAATTATTAGTAATCATAACAAAGTTTGAATGATTGGACGAATATGACTTTGATTTGTTGAGTTCGTCAGGAGTTGTTTTGGAGATTTATAACATGTCGCCCAGCCTTGTTAAGTGACATAAGATACATAAACTGCAAATTTGACTTTGTCTGCACTTTAGAGTCAGATAGTGTATTATGGTTTATTGCCAGCACTAAATTCATCCCTATTGCTTGTTTTAAACAAATAGTTTTGCTTCTCATTCCTAACTCTGTCTCTCTCTTCCGTTATGTAGAGGAGGCATGATCCAGACAGGTGAGCAGTATGAGTTTGTCCATCATGCCTTGAGCCTATATGAAGCCCGTCTATGTGCAGAAACTGGCCAGTGAGGTTTATCCACCTGACGAAGGTACAAATTTAACCTGGAAGTGTGCTAAAACAGTCCTCTGCAGGTGTGAACTGTGGTTTGGGAATTCTAAGTCTGGGAAATTCTGGAGGCGGCCTTGGAATTTGATGGACAGCATGGACAACCAAGCAGGACTGTTCTGGGAAGAATCTGCTCAAGGAAAAGGGAAAGGCAAATTTTTAAGAATGGAATGTATCTTTTCATCTTTTCTTTTTCATCAAACTCTGTGGACCCGCCCACTTCACTTAACCAACCGATTGTTGGATTGAGTTTTAACTAACCAGACTCTCCCATAATGTCTCTTTTGTCATAGAGACTTAACAACTTCAATTTACTGAAACTGATGGTACATTGTTCAATAACACTGTTGTGTTTATGTCTTCTAGCATTTTCATTATTTTGTAATGTGGTGTTTTTATAAAAATGGCTACTGAAAAATGACTGTTAGCTGCACCATTGGTTAAACTATTCTAGTACTGTTGAACCAACACTTACCTGTTTGTGACCTCAGCATGCTGTTCATTACTCTGATTTAGTCACAGTGCACTTCCTACACTTAGGCTAAGACAAGGTTCAAATGCTCCTTTTTTTAACCTGTTATTTAGTGGTGGTTTTCTTCTTCTTTTTTTTTTTTTCTTCATATTTTTTCACAGTCTCATTGACTTATTAAACTATTGCACATCAAACTTCTCAGAGATGCCAAACACACAAACTAGATTGACATCAATAGGGCTAATGCTAGGTTCAGATACATTAACAACTGACATTGGTAGTTATGTAAGCTAATGGATAGACAGCTAACAAATAAATTCTTTTATCAACAGTTGCCCATGGGGTAACAGCAACTTTTACATTCTTGTTTCTGTAAGTTTCCCAGCTTTTGCTGAGGTCCCAAATGGGGCTACCTTTAGCAACATGCTAAAAGCTAACAAAGCAGATTGATGCTAATCTTCCGCTAAGCTATAGTTCTTGTAATACAGCAAAGCAATTAATGGCTAATTATAGCTCCAGTAGTTTTATTGCTTTAATGTTGATAAATATATACTAACCACTTAACTCATGCTATAACTAGTAGTACATTATCCTAATACAGTATTTTTGTTAAACCAATTAAATCTAATATTCTGCTGCTAAGCCAAGCTTGCATAGTGATGTTAACAGTTGTTTATGTAATATTCATCAAGTACAGCTCAAGAGAGGTTCTGGCAGCAATGCCAAGTCTGGGTAATATGGTAGCTGTAACTTACAATGCAAAAAAAATAATTATTTTTTCTTGACATAAATCACCTTTATGTCAACACTTAAAAAGACCAATGAATAATACATTAAATAAATAAATAAACAAATAAAAATACACAGGGAAATGGAAAATGGTGGCTTACAAGGTATCTCACAAGTAGTGTTTTTAATTGTTAAATTAAAAGTCAAAACTCATA